AGTCTAGGTGAGCGCTACAGATCAATGTTAACAATTTTTTTTGGCTTAAATTTAACAATAGGGACGTGAACGACATGTGGTTTCAGCAAGATTGCCCTACTTGCCACACAGCGAACGACACAATCGACATTCTGCATGAACGGTTTGAAGGTAGGGTTATCTCTCGCAGAAGTGACGTGAATTGGCCACCAAGATCGTGTGATTTGACTCCGCTAGACTTTTTCTTGTGGGGTTTTCTGAAGTCGCAAGTCTATGCCAATAAGCCACATTCCACCGTTGCCCTGAAAGCCAACATAACGCAGGCCATCGCTCACACATCTTGTTTTATTCAATTTTAACATCGACCCGTCCTTGTTGAAAGACCCTTTACTATGTGCGAAAAGAATGGTATAATTTTGTATGCTCTTCCACCTAACACTAGCCACATGCTTCAGCCGGTAAATGTAAGTGTCTATGAGCCACTGAAATCGTCGTGGCCTTCGGTAGTTAGAAACTTAAACAAAACAAACTTTTCTCAACTGTTTCGAGACATTCTCGAGGATCCAAGTATGGGCGGTACTAATAAGAACGGATTTAGACAATGCGAGCTTTTTCCTTTCAACCAAGATGCCGTTGATTACACCAAATGTGACCAGGAAACTACTTTTGTATATGTTAGCAATTATCTACAAAACTCCCAGCAAACTGAGAGCAATGAGTCCTCATCCAATTCTGAAGAAATAACTAAACGAGGATATTGCATCGACGAGAAAAGTACTAAGTCATCTTAGAGCAAAATTAGAAGAAAAACAGATAGATATTGACGTTATTTTAGGAAAATTGTGAGAATTGGAAACGAAATATAATAATTCTGAAATAGAATCAGATAGTTTAGTGAATTATTCATCTTCTATCAGAATGGATATCGAATTATACGACGATTGGCATCAAGGCATCGAAATAAAACAATGTAAGACTGAATAATTATTGTTTTTTCGTAATAATAGAAAAAGGTATTTTTATTTTCACAGTTTTGTTTTATTTGTGCATGTTATTACTATCTGGAGTGGATTATATTACAGTGTGTTATTAAAAGTTCTTGGGTGACACTGAGTACCTACCTGCTAACTCAACCTAAAGGGTACCGTAGATATGTAAGTACTATATATTATTTTCGACAAACATAAAGAACTGGTGAACCTATCCGTGAAGGATAGTATCCTTCCTTCCTTTACAGATCCTGTTATTATTGTAAAATACTTATCCAGAAGTTGGTACTTACCTAATCAAAATATTATAATAATAGTAGGTAGGTAAGTAAATTGTTTCAATCAATTCGTCCAAAACATTTCATATCCAACCATAAACTATATAGGAGATAGATACATCATTACACATACATCGAGGTTATTGGATACGAGTTGCGGATGTGTGCATAACGCGAGCGATGCGGCTGAAGCGACCGATACCACACGACATCGTGTCGGACGTGCATCCGTCTTGCAGTTTATATCGAATATTCCGCACTAATCTAGTTCTCTGCCTACTAGTCTGACTGTATTAACAAGCATTAGAGATGGAAGCTCCACATTTCGGGATCAATGATTAAGCGTAATTAGGTCATGATTGTAAAACGTTTGATTGGAATTTAGAACTGTTTTATAAGCAGTTGCCTTGTTCTAACTACACGATTATTATTTTCCTGTTATGCCATTGATACAGTCATTATAAAGCTACGGAATCTACTCTTTACCTCATTTTTCACAAACAAGATAGGTACCTAATTACCTACCTCATTTTTATAAAGGTCGCCTGATAATGAATAGTTTTTCCATCTTTAATTTTGAAATATTTCAGTAGCAATTAGAACTGCAACGGTGGACGGCTAGTGACTAAAAAGTAAAGTGCATTGCAACTTGCAAGTAAAGTCATAATATTACGTAATATTCGTATATTAGGTACATTATGTAGGTATATAGGTGAACAGGTACCTACTTATTCTGAAAATAAATTAGCTTTAACAAACAATAGACGTTATCTATAAGACATTATTATCTTCGTTATCTGACACTTGAGGATATTACAAGTAGAGCCTCCGACAAGTAGGGAGTGCTAAAATAGACATTAGACAGATTAATTTTCTTATTATTAGGCACTTGTCGTTTTGAGTAGGATTCGGTGTATTATGTCTTCAAGAGATTTGGATCCGATTGTCGTTGTAGTATGTTCTAGAAGTTAACTATAAAAGACTTCAATTTAGAGTCTATGGTCAATATTATGAACGATGAGTCCTATAACGTGAATCGAACTTACACTTTCATGCTTTGACTAAAGAGATAGTCTCCATTTTCAAATATTTTGTTTTCTTTACTCACCTACTAGTTAAGTAAAATTGCTTATTCTGAAAACGCATGCAACGCTGTTATACGTATATACACAAGTCTCAGCATTAATCTTCTGTTATTTTGTCTACATTTCTATGATAGAGACATATAAGTCAAGTGAGACATATAGCTTTGTTACCCACAGCAGCTCAGCGTGACATCGTGACGGTAGTCGCATACGTTAACACGTAAATCACCTATTTATTGTTCTCCATTAAAGCAAGCAATATGTAACATCTATATTCAGATTTATATCTGTCTCTATAGTGATGGTGTGGACGGTAATTAGGTACTTATTTCTGTGGGTACATTTGCTAGTGGTCGTAATTAGGTCGTACTTTGATTCCAAGGTCAAGATATTCCAAGATAAAATGGATAGAGATTCTCTGTAAAACCACTTAGGTTGCAATTGTGTTCATTGTTTCCTAAAATAATGTCGCCAATAATAGGTACCTACTTATAAGAGTATCTATCATAAAAGGCTTTATGCAATACTGGCATTTGTGACTGCGATCAATGACACACATAAGCAAGGTGTAACATTTATTTTCTCCCCAAAAATGGGCAAGTTGCTACCAAAACGTCAATTTACTCCGGAAGTTATACCACCATGTCATTATATTATGACGTTACTGATCATATTTCCATCACACATGTCGTAAGATATAATCTTGTGCCGCTCCATTGCAGTTGATATCATGTTACTAGATGACGAGGCAAATGCGCTTGAGCATGCTGTTTGTTTAAGAGAAAAGGGCTTAGAAATCTGTGATAGAAAAGGTTGTTTTGACATTCGGCTGTTTTGTAATGCAAAACCACGTACCTATGTTGTGTATTGGTGGGATAGGTAGAGGTACGAAAACCTACCTACTACAGGTATAAAAAAATTTTTGCCAGCCTTTGATCACGTGCTCACTTCAAGTCTATTATAACAAGACATATTCTAGTTGCATTCATGCTATTAAATGTCCCAATAAAGCTAGATTACACTCAGGATTGAGTGAGTGATAGTGCTTTCACATGGCAGTTAGGATGTGTTTACTAACATGAGTAATTATTTTCTAATAGAATAGCTCAAGGTGTCTCATCAAGCATCGTCTTCTTAACTATTTTCATTCCCTTTAATAAAGATAACTACTATAAGGTACTATCAAGTTCTCGTCTAGTAAACTGTTATCTATTCTAGAGGCGCCGCCTATGTCATTATTTGATTATGACAACACGTCATAGATCTGGTTTTCTCCACTCATTCGCCAAGCCCTTGTTTGCAGCTTAGTCATTACTTTCTGTTTTTATAATAATTATAGTTTAGTTGATTAAATATCTAGCTTGTGTCTGTGTGATCCTCATGGAACCTATTTGCTTGGAGAGAAGGAGAGGAACTGCCCGAGTTCCTAAGTATACCTATCCATTGCTGATGCCCCTCTAAAGGATGGTTATTCCATTTATTACCAATGTCATGGTGTAGGTACACAACCCAATCGTATCAATTTATCATTTGAAGGTACCTATTTAGTTTTCTTTTTGTAGACATAATTGTACCTACCGTGTATTGCGCATTTACATTATTTTTTTCTTTTAATTGTATGCTGTTTAGAATTGGCAATCAAAATACTCATAAAAATTCGAATATATTATACCTACTGCTTAAAAACAGTTCAGGAGTTTAGGATGTAAGTACAATGCAAAGACACTGACATACATAATATTCATGATCACACACTACCTGATCGAATAAAAACTGATACAACAGAGTATAAACTGTGCTTCAACATCCGACCATACACAATGATTACTAGAATACACTAATACACATAATTATACACAGGTGCACGTGAATGTGTGTATAATTGTTTTCTCTCGCAGTCGCTAGGTGGCGACGTAAGCGATATACACATATTAGAATGTACTTTCATTCATCTCTCTACTATGGTAACCAGCCAATTGGAGAGACAATTCCGTAATAAAAATTTAAATTTAAATTGAAAATCAATGAAATAATTGCATTAACACAACATGGTGCTTCAATATTTTTATATTGAAGCACCATGTTGTGTTTAGGTACATCAGGAATTTAAGTAGTCCATTCTATATTTTTTTGCGTTTCGTATGCGTTTGGGTGATTTTATTATTATGCCTAACAACCCATTGTTCATGGTAAGAATGTGTTTAAGTATCTAATTGGTGTTCACACGAACACGTTCAGCATAAGCAAAGTAATTGGTTTTAAATTCGACTTCATCCAACTTGTTTCCATATTTTAGTCATCTTAACCCAATGATAACACTACACACGTATACTCCTCATTCACTTCAAACGATCATCATTAGCTAGTATTAAACTTACCCTTCATTAGTTAGCCATAAGTCAGTACAAAAACAAAAAAGCCAGATGCAAACAACAACAAACTACGTAGAACTATAAACAAACACAACACCTAATCGCTCTATTAACATTACAATTAAAACATAAATTACCACGGAGTGCTAAAATCACTAAATCTTTTCACACTCACGACTCCATTAAAGTTAAATAAAAGTAAATTCCCATTACCTTGGTTCTGTGTGGTCACCTCACATACTCGGCGCAGAGCCTCGTGATAAGAACTAAGTCATCCGCGCAAGCGCAGCGGCCTTGCGCACTCGCGTCTTACACCGACCACCGTCTCCACAAACGAAATCACGCTCTACTCTCCGACTTTAAAGACGAAATTAGAATAACACGACACAGTGATAAGGAAAAAGAATTACAAGTGACAGTGGGTGAAAAAAAATAGTTTTGTGAAGTTAGTGTTGTGCAGTTTGCATTATTCTTGTCTTGAACAGCAACTGGTAAGCTTTCTTTAATCACTGCATAATTACGTGTTTTCCAAAACTGTTAGTCTTATTTGTATAGTTACATAAATCCTGAGCACCCACCTCCGACGCAATTGTAGTACTTACGATTTTGAAAATAGTTTTTATGCCTACTTAGCTAACAGAAATAAATAGTTGAAATGTTTAAAGTAAATATCGTTACATAACGTGGAGTAATATTTTACAAAGGTTTACTAATACTAAGTATACTATGCTCATCCTCTCATAAAAAAGTACAATTAAAATACTTTACACACGCATTTTTTGCGATTTCTTCACTGACCGAAGTTTTTATTGTGACCTGCCTAACTTGCCTTTCAGTAATTTTATTTGAAAATATCTCTAATTATATAGTGTTTTTAGGTAGGCATACATTGATTTGCATCATGTAATTCAGGAGACAAAGTCGAAGCCAAAGCATTTATTTCAATTAAATCAAAATTTGGTACTTTTGAAACGTCAACAAGTACCGAACAAACCTTGTTTCTTTAAGGGCTGGTTTTCCAATTCCAATGCCAGATAAATTTTAACTGAGGAGTAACCCAGCATAGTATATATTATCTATGGGAATAACTTTGAACTTCCAATAAAAACCATCAAATGTCAATTTTATTCTACAGTTAATAATTATTAACTGTTGATTGTAAAATCGGCCCTAAAAAGGTAATAGGTAGGTAACCCACAAGCACAGAACATAATTATTATAAAAAAGGTTTATATTTATATGTTTTGTGTTCACAAGCTATGGCTAGGATACTCCCAATTATTTCAGTTGATTTGCTCAATGTTGTTTCCAATTAGTCTTACCTTATGAAAACAATTTGATTAAGTAACTAAATCACCGACGTAGCAGGCAAAAAATACCTGCAGTAGGTTATAAGAACAACCTTACTGAATTTGTAATTTTCCTTATTCGTCAAGACTGAAGGCATCAAAGTGACAGCGCCATCTCACCATTCAAGGCTGGAATACTTCTAAGTTCGATGTACTTAAGTAGTATACTTTCCATATCACACACATCAACGGCCTATAAATGCCCATCGCTGAACAAATAAAGCCTCCTCTCACACTGAGAATGTTTGAGCATTAATCACCGCGCTTGCTCCATGCGGGTTGGTTTCAAACTTATAATTAGAAATTATCAGCCCAGATTTCCTCACGATGTTTTCCTTCACCGTTTGTCAGTAGTGTCTAAATAATCTTAGAAAGTACATATAACTCGAAAGAAGTCACATTGGTAGTTGTCGTTGGTAGGTTCCGAACTAGCATCCTCATGCATGGGAAGCAGGCGTCTTAAACCTCAGGGCCACCACGACCATACCTACTTTATTACCGGATACCTACTTTATTTAGGTAGGTAAATGAAATTAATCGGTTCTTTCAATAGGGGGCCAAAACTAAACAAAATGTTTCATAACGGGTTACCGGGGCTCCGGCTCGAAGTGCAGGAGAAGGAACGGGGTGGTTTTTAGTCAGTAAGAGTCTGACACTCCCTCCCGCCTCACCCAGGTGGGAGAAAGAAAATCATTCAATGGCTATTGAATGATTTTTTGCCTCAAAAAAAGACACCCGCCACACCAGAAGGGTTACAGATGTGTTAACGACCTTTGCATAAGATAGCGTAGATATAGTCCAAATGGTGGTAGAGGACAAATCTATAACCGTACAACGCACTTGAATCGCTTGTAATCTGGTGTAGATAAAGTCAGAATAAGATGCAGATACAATAACAAATAGAAGTATCAAAAGATAATAGATGCGACACACATTTGGTATTTATTTGTTTAGTAAACAATGCGGCAACAGGTTGCAGTGTGGCTGACAGGTGATAACTGCAGCCTAGTGACTGAACGTCTACAATTATCATTATGATGATGTGAAAAGATAAAGAATATTTTTTGTCTAGATTAACTTTAAGGTCTTCAAGGACCATTATCTACATATCTAATTTAAATATGAAAAAAAAATTGCGTCTATGATGTTACATCATAAGATGACGTAAGTACCTATACTTATCTATTTTTATATTTTATTTTATTTTTACATTGTTTTTATAATATCTATCGTGAGACATACTAAATAAACTAAAATTCGCGGGTGACTCACGTGAATATACTGAGGTAGGCTGCGCGACATCGCCGCGACCGCGCACGCTGCTCATGAGGAAGAACCCCTCTGTGGTTCGAAACTAGTAGAGCTTTTCTCAGTATATTCACGTGAGTAACCCGCGATTTTTAGTTAATTTATCTAAATATTGTCTGTTAGGCTATTTATTCTCACGACCAATGACATGGCGGACTGCGATCGAGTTCATATCGATCTTTACAAGCTCAATTTTTGTATATTGATTAATGTCAAGAGTAATAAAAGTATCATTTTCCCGTGTAAAGCAAGAAAGTATTTATTTGACGTAATTTTAACATCACATCCCTTACTTTTCACCTATAATGAAGATAGAAGACTATGAAAATCTACAATTTACCTTTCGCTAGTTGTCACAATAATTATATTAATACGGGACGTGCCTATTGACAAATCCGCACCGGATATAAGGCTACTTTCTTCACTCCACCCTTTTTGTCCATTAGTGACTGATCATACTAATTATCTTCACAGCAGACCGCAATGATAGTAACACTTTGATAGCATCTATTTCCTGTTACAACATTTTTTATTCTAATTCAAATTCTGCTAAAGCATCTGACAAACATGGTAGGTATACTACAAGATCAGTATAAAGTTTACATTAACTAAAATCAATTTTATTCCTATTTTTTTTTACTGTCGCTGTAAAATCAATTGTCTAAAAATATAAACTATTAGTTATTATAATCTTCTGTATGTTGACTTTTCGGTTGCCGGGGCCCCGGCTCGAAGTGGAAGAATAGGAACGGGGTGGTTTTTAGTCAGTAAGAGTCTGACATTCCCTCCCGCCTTGGCCAAGCCAGGAAAAGTCTTTGAGTGATTTCCCTTCCTCAAAAAAGACTTTACCAACATAATTTGTATTGTCAATGTAAAATTAATTAAAATTACGAACAAATTGAGTTTATTCATGTGCAAATACATAACAATTTTATCTCCCTTTGTATTCCTGACTTTGCCAATAATTTGTTCTGTTCAAACATTCGTTCTGAAACTTTGCAAGCGCTGGTTCAGTTTACTGGAAGTGATACACTGTAAGTCGAGCTCCGAAACTTGACTCAATGGGGTATTTTATTGGCCATAGTTCTTTACTTGATATTGAAACAATGGGTTTTTTTCGATCATCTCCGTTTCCTATTGCCGTCACGGTCTGCCACCTCTGTTGGTTAATTCCGTGTTGTTTGTTTGTTTATGATAGCTGTAGGGTTGTAAACTTTACTTAGACATGAGCTTTCTTAACCAGATTTTGGAAATCTTACAATTGGAATTGGGCACCTTTTGCCCCATGAAATTCATCACAATTCCTTGATACTAAGCTCTAAGTTAACAAGCATACCAAATCTATTGAACATCGCAAGAAAATTACGTCTTTCGTTCCGGTTTTACAACAATTTAGTTTAATACAGTTGGTAGACCGCAGTTCCATTTTGTTCATCTTATCGCTTACGGTCTATAAAATATTGTTCGAACGGTTTCAAGTTTCATCTTTGCTCAAATTGCACACACATTCCTTGGCAAACAATCATTGCTTCCCTGATTGAATGTCTTGTCTTCTAACAACCGTTAGATATAATAAAAATATATAGGTAGGTTACATTTTTGCTGCATATTTAAGCAAATTACTTAAACTACGATACGACTATAAATAACTACGATACTTACTGATTTTATTTAGAAGTCAGTCTGTCTCAATAAACCTTAGACAAACGAAGCACTTCCAAGGACAAAAGTGCCATAACATTAATTTATTTAAACAACGTCTTCCTTCCTATCTATGTTTTCAATATTGTAATTAACATCTCGGAGTAAAAATATAAGACACGGCGTGAATGATTAATTCTTCATTGTTCCAAGGCAACGGCTTGTGTAATTTGTTCAGTAAATCATCCTTATAATAGATACAATATTCTATATGCACAATATGATTGCATTATATACTTTACTTAGGTGTTTGTAGTCCAGAACTTCTGAATACATTTCAATGAAAGGCTACTCAATACTCATACTATCAGTAGCAACAGAGTTTATGGTTGGCTTGACGGTGAGTGGCTACTGGAGTCTTCGTAGGTACACCACACCACCCACCAGAGGCATCACATCTTTGTGCATTCATGCATTTAATGAAATCAAAAGATATTTAAGTGTGGGAGAGCCATACTTCGGCACGAAGGCGAATGGGCCGGCTCAACTGGAGTTATACCACGGCCTCACAGAAAACCGACGTGAAACAACACGTGTCTTGTGTTTCGTCGTGTGAGTGAGGTTACCGGCGGTCCAATTACCTACCTCCCCATTCGTCTCAATCCCTGATTCCCCAACAATTCTAATCCACAAAGGGCCGGTAACGCACTTTCCACGCCTCTGGTGTCTCGTATAGTGAGCAAGAATAGCAATGAGATTCCTATTAAATGTCTCACAAAATACTTTTAATTCCGTAGAAAGTTTGTGTAAATCTAAATAAAGTATAAATAGACACTAAACGGCATGCAAATCTTAGGAGTTACTTAAGAGATAATGGGACTTTAAATTCAGTTCAAGTCTCACAATAAATTTAAATAAGGAGATCATACGTAACACACGTATTATGCCTGTAATACTCTGATGCAGAAGATGTTCTGTCACGACCGATCTATTTTTTAGATTTGAGTTTGTGATTTCTGCTTTGATTACAATAATTTTGGCCGATAGAATCACCGATGGATCGAAGCCGATTTAGAGTCCCTGCTGCAATAGCCTCAATTACCTAACTGCTAATTAAATAGAAACAGATAGGTAAATAATAATCATTCGATCCTAATCAAACCAAAGACGTCACAGAATTTACTCTTCTAACT